TATGAATTATTGACTGTAGTAACCTCATCCTGTCATTCCACTTATTACGCCTTAAACATATGGAGGACCTTGCATATTTTGTTTGTATTGAAAAAATTGAGTTTTCATGACAAAAAGAAGATAAACATCTATAATAAAAATATAAAAAACTTTTTTCAGCTTAGATAATGACAAAATGATGGATTGAAGGTGAGATAGGAAGTAAATGTAAATTGAGTTGTTGCATTAGGAGTTCATTCTGCCTCCATTTTGTCACATTTCCTCCAGTTTTGTTAGTTTTTCCTCCTCTCCCACTGATCATGAATCGTCCTCTGCTTTCTCTATTTATTCGTATCTGTTCTCTTGTAAAACTGTTTTCTGACCTCACTTCCTTTTTTTGACCTTTTGCACTCTTTCTCTTTTGTTTTCTCCTGTGTGCATCTCGTTCTTATCGCCTTTTTGTGTCTTTTTCATTTCTAAATGAGTAATAACCTGGTTCCATTAGTTTTCACACTCTTAAGCTATGAAGTACCTTTTGATTAAATTTGAATTAATTGGTGAATTAATTAATTTTCCCCATAATTTCCCTTTTCATTTCTTCCTAATAACTAGCTCCATTGTTGTCTCCTGTAAGTTGCTGGAGTCTTTCTCATTTCTTTCCACTCTTCCTCTCCTGTCATGCCTCTCCTCTTCCCCTCTTCTCCTCCTTGCCCTCCGCTGTCACTGTCACCAGTAAGATGGAAGTTAATTTCACACACTCCCCAGGAATAAGAAAAAAGAACAAGAGGGAAAAAAATTGTGTCAGCAAAAGATTTATATGACACAGAAAATCAAGAGCCTGCGATTCTCTCTGCTGTTTGTGCTCCAGGGTCCTTTCTGTTCTCGCTATAGCACACTGTTTCTAAAACTGCCTGATGTACACCTCCCTCCACCACACACACACATACACACACTCCTCCCACCCTGCCCCCTCCAAAGGAGCCTGTCAGATGATAAAGAGATGTTGTCAGGGACTGATTATCAGCCTCCCAACTAAAAACAAGTAAAACATCAAACGCACAAAGACCACACAGGGACTTGGCCTTATTTTTTTTCTTAATTTCTCCTTCATATCTCTCTTTCCCGTTCCCTTTTCTGTGTCTCAGTCTTTGTCAGAAGTGAGTTTTTTTTTTATTCTAAGGCTGTATGTGTTTTTTTTTTTTTGTTTGTTTTTTTTTTTTGCCTGCTGGCGAGCAATTTGATTTGTTCTGTCATTTTATTTTAGAGCTCATATTGTTTCTTGTGTATTGTTTTTATTATGATGGCTTAATTCATATCGGCGCCTGTAGCGGCCAGGGCCCAGGTCCTGCATCACCTGGGAGGACGACGGGGACAGCAATAGAGCAATAAAGCCAGAAAGAGCTGCATCGGCTGAATGTGTGAGAGATCGGGTGGGGATGGGTGGGCAATGTGTGTGCAAGTGTGTGTGTATGCATCTTTTTTTTTTTTTGCAGTGCTGACGTGGGTGGGAATGATGAAGTGCTTGAATCTAATTATAACAAAGGACATTTGCATGCTTGATGCCTGATGCTTGCACACAAGCACACAGATCACCAACCTGCTGCCTTACGTTCAGCACACACTGAGCGTCTGTCACTCATGCTGGCTGGAGAGTCAAGATAACTCAGAATATCACTGCAACAAAGTTCATGAGCAGTAACCCCCCCGTGGCCCCGTCCCTCTCAGTCATGGTCAGGGTGACCCATTCACACCCAATGGGACCAACAACAGGCTCTGACTGAAGCTGTGGGGTTTTCACATGCAACCACTTAAACCAGTTTGCACCAGTTCCTCACTTACTGACTCATCTGCATAAATTTAAACTAGTGGTGGGACTGGATTCAAATTTTTAATGGAGTTAATTCCAGGGTGTGTAATTAATTAATTGCATTTTAATCGAAAACTATATGTTGACAAAACAGTTAACATTTCACATCAGAAACCCCTTTCTGCTGCTAAATTACAGAATAAATAAACATGTGAGCTCAACAACAAATATATTTATAGGTTTCCATTTGTTGTTTACATTCTCCAGCCATCAAACTGGAGCAAAGTGTTATTCTATCAATTTCAGGAACTCCTGATCATTCATGGAGCTTCTGTATATGTTGACATTACCGTTAGCATCTGCTGCGGCTACATGTTTAGCATTGAGATGCTATTTTAGGATTGAATAGCTTTGTTGATAAGCTAACTCCTTTAGCACAACTTGAACACAACAATAGTCTTTAAAAGCGTCCAATCAGATCGGTTTTTGAAGCAAAAATGGAAACCCCATCGGGCCAGGCGAAGCGGCTTCGTCTACGGTTAGCGGCTGTCGCTTGTGTGTCAGATTCCTGGTCGTAACAGAAACACATGAATACAAACACTTGAAACTTTTGTATGTAAAAAACAAAAAGGTGATTTATTGAATCAAAATTTGCATCTAGTCAATGTAAATAATTAATACAAATTAACAAATTAAAATGTCTTATGCAGTGGAATAAATGAATTCTACACTAAAGATATGACAATATTTGACTTTATGAGCTTTCACATGTTTTTTATTCCATACATTTTGGGATGGACAAAAACTACTTCTCAGACAGACAGCATCAGTAGCTCTTCCCAACCAATTCAGCTTTCATACAAAAAAATTTTTTTTAAATAAAAATCTGAAACTGTCATGCGTTCTTTGGCCATCTTTACTCTGACACCCCTAAATACATCCAGTACAACTAACTACCTCCAGAAGTGATCCTAATAAATCCTATTTTGACTATTGCAGCATATCCATCAATGTTTTTTGTTTTTGTTTGAAGTATTGCATTTAATAAAAAGGACAAATTTCAAAATAACTTCCATAATTTTGCAAACTTTTAATCTTGTGGTGTTTGAAAAAGACTAACTGAGCTAAGGCAGATGGAAACATGTTTGTCAAATACATTCTGACCATCCCATCTACTGGTAGGTCTGTGCCTTACGAGAGGCACGAAACTCTGAAATATTTCTACATCCATGTCTATTTTGTTTTTCTTAATTTAAAGGTTTTCTCAAAAGTCACATGACAATTGGATGGACACATAACTAATGAAACCCAAAAGTCCTTTCCCTGTAGGGTTTAATTTTCCTGTTTCTGGTCTCACAGAAGCACAGATAGTTTAACTCGCCCCACAGACGTCCTGCTCAGCTGAGTGGAATACAGAGGCTCCCATTTTGGAATTAAAAGCCATAATTTTAAGGAGTTCAAAAGTGATTTCCCCGATGCAGACTTCCATGTTCTCCTGCGTTTGGGGGAGCAGAGAGAGCTCCACACATGATTACACCCTGTCTGGTATTCTAGCATTTACACTATAAAATTGCATGATAATTACTTAAATATCAGGGCCAATTTACAAAATGTGCTGATTTCAAATAACTCGCCCCATGCTAAATCTTTAAATTTTTCTACCCATTTTCAAGCACTTCCCTTATTCCCACATTATTCTGCAGTTCCATAGAAACACTGGGTTCATGTTTAATGATGTGCCATGTTTGCAAATTGCCAGTGCTGGTGGTAGACATTATGTGAACACTTCGTTTTGGCTACTTGCTTACGCATCAGCAGATTTCTGATGTATAATCTAAGCTAATGTGAAGCAGCCGTTCACAGATCCTGTCAGTCCCACTTCAAACAAATACATATTAAAGTATGCTCACTGGTTATAGGAAGCATGTGGAACCCCCTATACCCCCAGTGACTCCAGTCAGAGCGAAATAAATAAGAAGTGCCATTTGTCATGTTTGGACTGAAGAACGAAAACAAAGACAGGAGTCAAGAACCAAGAAGATGCTTCTGACAAAGAAAAGCAAAGTTCATTTCTTCCTACTATTTCTTGAACCTTTTCAGCAATCAGACCAGTGTTATTTGCGGAACCATTTGATGTGAGTGTGTATATGTATGAGTGTGTATATGTTTGTGTGTGTATCTTCTATATATTGTTCTACCCCCAGCTGTGGGCAGTAGTTAGGAGCAGAAGGAGCAACAGTACTGGTTTAGTGGGGCTGGCGCTGGGCGCTGCAGCGCCCCCTGCTTCAGATGAGCCCAGGTTGGAGACGGTGGCCCTCTCCGAGTACAGAGGGATCACATCAAACTGGCCACCTTCATCAGCCTCCTCCTCTTCCACCGTCTGTGTCAACTCCTCCTCTTCCTTGCTCTCGACCACCTGTTGAGATGCAGGCAGAGTCAGTGAGAGATGTAGCAGCATTTAGCAGCTTCAGCAGATTTACATTATGGTTCTGGGATCATTTGTGCTCCACTGATTTTTACGTGTTTGTCTTTTCAAAGTTAAAGTATCAAAGCCCTTTGTTGTGCTGCTAAACATTACAACATTCAAAACAAAACACAGAGGTTTTAAAATAAGTTTCTTCTCCGAGCCTAGAAGAAACTAGGCCTGATATCCTATCAGGATACAGACTCAGCATTTCAGCAAAGTGCTCTGGGTACAAACATCGACAGCAGGAGATAGATGTCAAAAAACTCAGATACAGAGCGTCTCCTCCACCTTCTCAAATGTAATTGGTGAGTGAATTAAGCAGAGAACAATTAGAGTCCTTATGTGCACCATGTAGCACTGATGAAATGTCGATTAGAAGGAAAATCTAAATCCCTTTTCTTAACTGATTAGGGTCTGAAAATTCTAATTGGGAAATAATAAAAAGTCCGTAGCTGTAACTTAACTCTCTCAGACAACAGCAAACATATGTCTTGGCTCCCAACAGAAATTGAACAGAAGTTAATTGAATTAAACTGAATATCACTCAGTGATGGAGTCTTTTATTCATTTTAACAGCAGATCACTTCCACCAGAATTTAGTATGAAACCTCTAAGCAACACCAGTGTTACATGTAAGGTAAGTCTGTCCCTGTTTTCACTAAAACAAATGTTAAACTACAGATTATAATGCAAATACTTCACAGTCTCTGGTTTTAGCTTTTTTCACTCAGTGTCCGACTGATCATTGCTACTCTGACTGGATGGGTCTGTATCAGTTCTGTGCTGAGTGTTGGTTCCAGCCATGAAGAACTGAGCTGGATAAAGAAAACAAAAGAGATGGGTAAAAACCCTGAATGCACTGCGTTTAACCATTTTCATCTGTTTGCAGGAAGGAGTTTCACAGCATGAACACATGAAGTTGTGGTTTAAAAAAACTCTAGATAATGTTAGCTAAGGATAAACAATTTAAATATAGCTGTGTTTTTTTTTTGTTTTTGTTTTTTTGCATTGTTGATGTTTGCATTGTGTCAGGTCAGAGCAGGCCTGGGAGCAGAGATGGTTACTAGTGTTTCAGACTCTAGAGCAGTGGTTCCCAAACTTTTTCTCCTGGGCCCCCCCAGTGGTTTCCAAACATTTTCTGGGCCCCCCCTATGGTGGGGTTGTTTGTTGGGGGGGAATCGACTTTTTTGGGGGCAAAATGAATGTACGTAGCCGAACATAGACAACACCAGTAGCCTACAATCTACTTGTTAACAAACTTAAGGTGATATATTGACATTAGCTAGTCATCTTTCAGCTAACATTACCTGCATCCAACAGCTTTACATAGGAATAACAGAGAGTTGGCCACTGTAAGGTAAAAACCCAGCGCATACAGCATTCATGTTTGTTTTTTTTTTTTTCATCAAGACGGCTTCCCGCGCCCCCCCTGCAATGGCACGGCGCCCCACAGTTTGGGAACCTCTGCTCTAGAGCAACAAGTGGTGTGAGCACTGATGATCCACTAGCATGACTTTATTCTGTTTTATGTCTCACTAACCTGCATAAAATAGACCCACAATAGGAGTTTCAAACACAGCATTAAAAATCAATTGTCTAAAAGCCTACTGATTTCAAATTCAGAAAAATAATTTAATAAAACAGTACTTTATTAGAAAGTTTCTATCTTCACTTCTGCTTTGCATGTGAACTGAATGTTTGAACACTGTTAATTTAGTCTTAAACTAATAAGTCCAAATTCTTCATAAAAAAACCTTGTTTTTTAAACACACATTTACTCTAATCTGTGATATCACTACATGAAAAAAAAAAAAAGCTTTCCATTACCTATGTGCAGAGCCACGCTCCATCAGTGGCGAACTACATCTATTGTTCTGAAATACTGCACCTCATCAGGCAGGTAGTCATAAAATAACAGACTGAAATATCTGGCTGCTATTTCCTGTCCCTCAACTTGACAATTTTGTTCTAAATTAGTAATTTTGTTCATAATTGCCTTTGGCACTTAATAGTTAATAGTTATTCATATCCAACCCACATCCATTGTTGTATAACATTCTCTTGCAGGATAGAAAGGTTGTGGTTGTTAGCATGCTATACTCTGTCACAGTAGGAAGGATGCACGTTTGATTATTTGTAAGAGAAGATCCTTTGGCCGACTTCAGAAAGTTTTGTTTGCATTATGAATTAAATGTGTTTCTTTTGATCACAGCCTTGATGGAAATGAGTCGGTGCAGCATTGTTAGTGTTGGGGATTCCCAGCTGTTTATCCTCAATAATATGCAAAAACATCTGGAGCAGCTCAAGGCGCATGCTAGGTACTGTTAATTATATACCTCTCTGTCATTCTCAGTGAAACACTGCCTTTGTTTCACTCATGGCTGACTTTATGCAGGTTCCATCTCTGACTTGTGTTGTTATTTTTAGGCCCGAGCAGCTAAGCGCTGCGAAGGCCTATTGAAATTGTGCTGCAAATTATTATTATGCGTCCGTAAAATGAATTGGCTTTTTGGAGGCTTTATCATATTCAAAAACTCACCAAGCTTGGCGGACTCGTTGATACTGTGAAAAATTTACTTATTTTAAGGTCAACACAAAAATAGCAAAAGAAACGGCTCAACGGTGACACCTAGCAACTTTCAAAAGACCCTTTCCTATTACGTTACTTCATCGTAGAGACATGAAATTTGGTACACTTGTAGAGCTCCCCAAGCTGCTCAGAATTTACAATTAATGTCATGGTGCAAGTATGACAGGAAGTCGCCCATTTTGGATTGAAGTTGTGTTTTTGACCCCATTTTGGCCATTTACAGCCTTTGTATTTGATCAGACTCTTCCTAGGGATTTCGATCGGTCGGCTTCAACCTTGGTCAGTTGGTTCATAAGGCATGGTAAATTAAAACTGATCACAGGTTTGTGTTTTTGTGCCTGCTAAAGGGGGGTTTCCTGGGGTCATAGTTCACCTATTCGCCATGAAACTTGAAACTGGTATATCTCCTACATAAAAACTCATAGAAGCACCAAACTTTCAGTGATTGATCATCATGGGATGCTCTACAATACCCAACGGTCAAATAATGAGATCAGTTAGGGCACGCTCCCTGAGAACAGGAATTGTCATGTTTTACTGTGAACGGTTGTTTTCTGAGCACTTTGACCTAATCGAGGTGAAACTGTGTCCACAGACAGAAAACATGTTGGTGTGTTGAGGATTCCAACCCCATTTGTTTTCGATGGCGGCGTGGCAAAGTGACCCACCATACGTTTGGCTGTGAATTCCACAGTTTCAAGCTGAGCTGCACCAAACTCACTAGGATGGATCCTTATCGACCCCCCACAGGAATCCATAAACATCTTTGGTGGGTGTGGCCTAATTTCTCTATAGCGCCCCCTAGAATATTTTAAATGATCAGTAGATTATTCTTTAATCTAGAATTATGAAATTTGGTACACATGTGTATCTTGTCAGGACGTACAAAAAAGTCTCTTGGAGCCATGGTCCAAACCCTACAGGAAGTTGGCCATTTTGGATCAAAGCCGCCATTTCCTCTTTTTCATAGACGTCGCATCTGATCGAACTCCTCCTACAGCTTTTGAGATACAAACTTCAAACTCAGTCAGCAGAGTGTTGAGACATTGAAGGTCAAAAGTTATCACAAGATTTTTCATACGTCAAAGCACCTGGGCGTGGCTAAGTCCCAAACTTTGACTATTTGCCATAAAACATCATGGTGAGATAACTTCCACATTAAAGGTCACAGCTGCATCAGACTTCCTATGTGTCACTACAGACCAACCCTCATCACATTTAGGTAGTCAATTAATGACATCACCTTAGCCCCGCCCACCTCCTACAGGATGTCACCTGTTTTTTCTGCTGTATGTCTTACTTTTACTCAATGATTCATATGGGTTTAATCCTGTGCCAACTAAGGTAAAATTACATAATGAACCCTGTTAATGCAGGCAGTTGGCTGAATCCGTGTGGGGGTGGCCAAATGGCGAGTTGCAGTCCCTCGCCATATACAAATGGTTGTCTCTAAATCAAACATGGAACATCTGATTGGCACCAAACTGGACATGTATGACCTTTGTTCACCGCTAAAGAGCCTAACAGCATTGCATTGCAATTTGACTCCACTGCGCCCCCTAGGTTATTCCATCAGCTATACCTCCTCGCTACATCGGCTGATCTGCACCAGATTTTTGGTGAGTCCTCAGGGAGTGCTGCTGAACTCATTGATATGTACGGCCTGGCAGACGGGTGCGGGAACTGCGCAAGTGTCTGCGGTGGCTGGCGGGCGGCGGTGCTGGGACTCCCACGGTGGCCAATAGGCTGGAGTGGCGTTGAGCTGTCAGGGCCGTTCGAGGCTGCCCACAGCTTTAATTTTAAATTATTTTTGCTTTTTAACATCTTGTCAGACAGTTACAGAAGACATAAACAGGTCAGGGAGTTTTAGCTACAGACACACGCCGTGGTTTAGTGTTTCCTTTTTTTGCAAAATAACTAGGGCTATGAACGACAATATGGTGATGCATGCGATCAATCTGAATATTTTAAGGCATTAATATTACATGGCACTGATTAATCGAATGACCGATTCTGACCTAACAGCCTCCCTCCTACTGAGGGTTACCCAGTTCACAGCAGCGCATTATGGACTCAACACATGGGAAGCGACAAAAGATAGCAAAAGGTGAAAAGTTTCCCTGACAACAGACAGCAACAAAAGTTTAATATTTTCAATTATCTTGTGTTGCTTCACACACAAGATAATTGTGTGTGAAGCAACACAATTATTGTGTTGCATGTGAATGCTGTGAACATGCATTCACATGCATGTTCACAGCTCATGCATGTGAACATCTACATGCATGAGCTCAGATTATTTCATGCATGAATCACGACGGTCGGACGGCTGGATGAGGACAAGTGGCTGTCGCCTCATCACACAAGATCCAGAGGAAACAACATTAACATTTAAAACAAAATGGCTTCCTTTAAACATACCTGAATATAAAAATCTGTACAACTGAGGATCTCCAGACATGTTTGGTTTGAGACAATAAAACATTTCTTAGAAAACGTGCAGACAGCAGGTGGTTTTTGATACAGGCTATGTGGGCAGTTACCCAGGGTGGCATGAAAAAGGGTTGGGGGACCCAAAAACTAAAATGTAATCTGTCATTTGGCTCCTGAACAACTTTGCTACTACTCATATGGCTGTGTAGTGCAGTAACTGAAACTTTATAATGGTCTGTAGCACACAGAGTAAGTTTCCTTTAGTTGTTGTTCAGTATTGGGAGACTGCATTACCTGCTTTCTGCTACAGGAGAAAAATCTGATAATTGTTTGCATTTTAATTTTGTTTTAGGGGGACGTAAGAACCACAAATGCGTGAGTATGTATATTCAAGCTGACAAAGTTAGGTACAGCGACCCCTCGCTATAACGCTGTTCAACTTTCGCGGTCTCGCTGGTTCGCGGATTGTTTTTGAGCAGTTTTTTTCCACAGTGCATTGTGTTCTGCGTCCTGATTGGCTAAAATATATGGAATACAGATTGGCCATTCAGGAGATGTAAACTGAAACTTTGAATGCCTGCTGAAAAAAACTGTGGCCAGAGGCTCTGCCGTAGATACAGCTGTGAATCTCGCAGGGCAGGTTGGAGGAGACGCTTTAATGACATTACTCCGGATCACATTAAGGCCCGATTGATGCACACGCACATCCGCTGACCTGAAAACAGGTTTTGTTCTTTGGTTTCAATGTAGAGTATTTAATTTTTCTTGGTAAAAATTGTAAAAAAAAAAAAAAAAAAAAAGGTAACTACTTTGCGGATTTCACTTATCGCGGGTTATTTTCGGAACGCAACCCCCGCGAAAAACGAGGGATCACTGTATACTGATTAATCTTGATTAATCACAGCACCAGAGTGTGATTAATCTGATTCTAAATACATTTTGACTGACAGAATTAAAAATAACAATAAAATGTCAGAATTTCCTTCAACTCCTTCAGGAGAAGCCTGAGGCGTTGCCATGCCAACCCAGAAACACTCCCTCTGGCATGTCCTGACCCGTCCCCCGGCCCGTCCCCTGTACCTCCTCTGGGACGTTTCTGAAACATCTCCTGATGGAGGTGTCCATGTATGTTAACCTCTGAATTCAAATTCTAAAATGCTAAATTCTTTTTCAGATCAGTAATCCTAACGGATTAAAAAAGCAAAAGGTTTATTCTGATTTAATGTTAGACAGAACGGAGAATGTGTTTTTTTATACAGTACCTGTCACTATCTTTTTTCTGAAGCCATCACAAACATTATATTCATTAATTATTGAGTTTTCTGCTCTTTGTTTTCCCTTTTAGAAAGGCAATCTCTAGGGTTTCTGACTGGGAAACAAACTCTAAGAGAAAAGCAATTCTGCAATATTTTATGTTTTCCTGTTAAAAGTTTCCTGTTAAAACACACGTATCTGCAAAAGAGACAATTAACAGAGCACTAGTGTTCCCCTACCTTCTCACATTTTTCTGTATCCACTGTGAAAATCCAGCACTAACAGCACAAAAAGTTTCAACTCTCCTAATTTGAAGCATAAACTTTAAATTCCTGAGAGAAAAAAAATCCATTCATAGAAAGGACTGAAAGCTTTTCAAAGAGACCAAATGAGCATCTGAGCGACAGACTGATGAGGAGATGAGGAGCAGGTATAGCCACTGGAGGCTTTAGGAATTTGAACACAAAAACAAAATGAAAGACAACGGTGAACAAATGCAGGGACTGAAAGGAGGATAAAGGAATTGAGGGAGGAATGAAGGAAGGAAGAGGAAGAGGATTTCAGGGGGAGAAAGAAAAACAGACAGGTGACATATGGGTATGAATAAATTCATACTAACGGAGCAGTCCTTCCAACAAACACCTCATCTAATCTGCTCACTGGGAGAGAGACACAGACAGACAGTGACGGGACGAGAGAGCGAGCGATTGGAGCAAAGTTGGAATTCCCTCTTGTCTGCCGGCCCAGATTATCTCTGGCAGCGCGGCACGCCGAGAGCCGGAGTGTCGGGAGCCACGGGAGATTGTGGTCCGGCCAAGGCAGCGGGAGCCAGGCCAGTGATTGGATTGGACCGGGTTGGACAATCCGAGCTGGACAAGGGCAGCCAGGAGCCAGGGCTCTCAGACCGTAGGTGTTCCTGCCGCACGTCAGCATGTGTCTGTGCCCACGCCACAGTTTGCACATTAACAGACTGGCAGATAGAGAGCAAACAGGGTTGGAGTGAAAACACCACAGGGCCAGAACTCAGCTGTCAGAAAGAGACTGGTGGAATCTGATTGGCTTTAGTCAAAGACATTCGCGCAATAATTGTTTTTCGGCTAACACAAAATAAACAGTGGGAAAGAAATGAATGGCTTCCTGGGATCCTGTGTAAAGTTAATCACAAGTCTCCCGTTCCATCCAGCAGCAGACTGGGTGGCAGGTCGAACTGCTATTGTAGTTTGTGTCACTTTCATATGCGGAACTAATTTGAATATGCATCCAATTGTAGATTGAACGGTAATGTCGCATTTTAAACAGGTTTTACGTCATTGATGTGAGACATGCGTCATAATTTTGCACCAGAAGAGGCCGGACACTGTAAATCTACATGCAAAAAATGGCTGAAAATCATAAAGATGAAAGACGTCAGTGAAGTGCATCACATCACAATCCCATCACTCCTCTCGCATGATTTGGAAACTTACATCAGAATTAAAACTGCCAAAACAAAATTGTCGCTGCGGCAAACAAGACAATTAGGACAGCCCAGCCTCTCCTTAGTGATGTTTTTATTTGCCTCCGAGAGCGAGGCTCATCACACTCAGACCAGACCAGCCTGTTAGTCTGGAGTTCCAGCTTCTTCCCTCTGGGCGGAGGTTCAGGTTCACCAGGATTCAACCGATGGAAGAACTCCTTTGTATTCACAGCAATCAGGTCCTTAAATTTATGAGCTATAGTTCCACTTTATATATGTATTGATTGGTGCTTGAATGTTTTGCCTGTTTTGAACATTGTCTATGTACTTTTTGAAATGCCTGGCTGCGGGACAATAAAGGAATTGATCTGAACTCTGAACAGTCGGTTCACGCCATCTGTTGTCCCATAACACCAACACAGGCAGGAGCTGATAAAACAATAACTAACTGAGACTGTTTGGTTATTAATTACTGATAATCAGGTGGTGACCCTTGGTTGAGAGGTCATTTTAATCAAAATGACCAACTTTACTCTTAATTGCCTTTGGCACTTTATAGTTCTTCACTGCCAAGCCAACCTATTGTTGCCCAACAGTGGTATAAATAGGAGTGGGCATTTATCGCATCATTTATCGATAATCGTAAAATTTTGTCATCATGATAAGAATTTTGATTTATTGTTGTCTCAATAAAATCCAATTAATTATGTTAAAAATGTTATTTTTACTATTTTCTTCACTGTGTCTCAAAAGACCATCAATATATGACAGGGAATTTGAAAATATGATTGAATGCAGTATATTGAGGTAAAATCACACTTCTTTAAGTAAGTGGTGGCCTGGAGAAGTCGATTTCAAATGGGAATGATGTTGAAGAACATTATTTCTGTTTGTGGTGAATGTGTTGTCGTTCATTCCCATCCACAGAGTTACCTTAAAAAGAAGTAATTCAAGCTTTTTTATCATTATTTCTATAGTTATCACTACAGTATCACAAAATATCACAAGTCCTGCACAGCACTGTGAAAGCAGGCGTGTGTTTTTGCTCTGGAGCAGAGCAGATGGAAACCTTCAGAAGAACAACATGCATGTTGTCCCATTGGGGACATAAAACGCCTGTTTGTTTCTGGACTGCTCAGGAAATCCTCACTGATTTTTCCATTCCCAACTGGTTTCAGGGATCTTAGCTACATTAACAAACATAATGGTACTGCAAGAGCATTTTGTTAGTTCTTCAAATAGTCTACATGTTTTTATTTCATAGCTGTATATAAAAGAAAATTCCTACAATTATGACTTTAATGCTTTTAATCTGAAGGTCTGAAAATTAAAACAGTGGCGCAGTATAAATATTTAGGATTTCTAATTGATGAGTCTTTGTATTTGCTTCCCACATTCAACAGCTGGTGAAGAAGCTGTGATTAAATTTGGATTTATTTCAGGATTCGATCCTGTTCATCTGTTGAGACTGGAAAGCGACTGGTTGATGCTACGTTTCTGTTCTGGACTATGGGGAAATTTATACATGCATGCTTCCCTTAAATGTCTTTATTCACTGGATTTGTAACAAGTTTAAAAGGTTTTACACATGACTGCGGGTTGGATGGACATCCTGGGCCACTCATGGACTCCATCATTAACATATTTTTATCTTTAAGGCCATTCTAGAACTTCTTCCATCATACTTGTTGGCCTGAATAAATAGAAAGTCCACTGGTAGATATCCTCTTCGTTGTGAGAACATATTTTTGCTGTCAGCGCCGAAAGTCAAGACTGAGCTTATAACCAGTTGCAGAAATATTGGACCTACGACACACTCACTAAAGACACTGTCGTCTCTAAATGATTTCAAGTTTCTTCTTACTGATTTGGAGAAGGAATCTTCTGTCTGCAAACGTTTTAACTGAAGAATCTTTTAATTTGTGAATTCATGACTGTGTTATTGTCTTCTGTTTTTGTTGTGCCGCTGCCAGTATTGGCCAGGATTCTCTTGTAAAAGAGACTTTCAGTCTCAGTGGAGTGCTCCTGCTAGAATAAAGGTGTGGTCACTAATCCCCGCCAATACCAGAGCTCCACTATATAGGATTTATAGTCCATGTATTCTGGATTCTAGACTCTATAATCCCACACACATAACTCATTTGAAATGTGAACACGATGATATACTCACATCATTGTTGAGTTCAGGCAGGCGGTTACTGTTCAGCAGCTTGTCCTTCTGGACCAGTGGAGACGGTCTCGGAGCGGGGGGCTGAGTGGGGTCAGAGGGCAGCGATCCGGGGCTTCCCATCCAGCTGATGGAGTTCCCTGCCCACACACACATCACCACATCACCTCTGAGCACATGTAGGAAAAGAAAGCCCCCATCCTTCGGAGCCTGACAGCTTAGTGGGAACAAAGATCATGGACCCCGGATGTTCAGATGTTACGACATGGTCAGGGTTGGAATGAAATCAGAGCAAACATCATTGTTAAATGTTAGCTCTGATGGTCAGAGAAGGGAAGTCTGGGTGTTTGCTGCGTTGGGGCTAAGATTGGTGCCTGTGCATGTGTGTGTGCGTATATGTGTGTGTGTATGTTGTCTTTTCCAGCCTGTGATGCAGCATCTGAGTGGGTGTGAACCAACATATCTATCTGGCAGGTTTATTGTCGGAGCCATCGTCAGCTTGATAAATCAGTTTTATGGGAGGTGTCCTGACACATTGATCCGGGCTTTAGTGTTCGGACAAACAGCTCAGCGTGTATCGATAAACCCACCTGACAGCCGCTGTGACTGACTGACAGGTGGAGGACTTTATGTTCCCACCCAACAGGCTCCTCGTGGCGGTGAGAGCCTTTCAGATGCTAAGACTGGAGCGTGCTGCTGCCATAAAGCTGCAGAGTGCTGCTCACTGCAGGAGGCAGCCACCCAGACGCATTCAACTGCCACTGTGTCAGAGTCACTTTTTCATTTGCTCTCTTTGAGCTCTTTCTTTGGTTCTTTTAGGCAAGACAAATAAATCATGTTTTCTTAGCTCCGATTAGCCAAATCACTGCATTGGAGGAAACATGGTTTTATAGTGAACTATTTTCAAACACGCCTGTAACACCACGCAGAGCGTCATGGGAGACTGAGAAGCATTTAACCATGTGAAATGATTTTCCTCTCTTTTTAGGCTACGTTTCAGCAGAAACAAGCCAAACACAGGGCAGGTTAGGAAATGCCTTTAACTAAATAAGATCCTCACAGACACAGAGGACATGTATTGGCAGCTCTGCTGAGAATGTGAAAAAAGCCTTAAAATAAATTCCTATTTTATTTCAGTAGCATAATCTCACACACAAAAAAATGTAGAATTAATTATTTTAACTACATTAATTTAGTGGGGAAAACATGTAAAACAAAATACAGAACTGTAAAAATATTTACCTCCTTAAAACTTACTAGTTTTAAGGAGGTAAATATATGTCACACAACTAAATGTGTGATATAGTCACACATTTAGGTGTGAATATATCAGTCACACCTAAATGTTTCAGGTCATCCAAAACATTTTAACATCATGAGAAGATAATTTAGTAAATACAAGCAGCAGATTTCAAATGGTGATTTCAGTTATTAATGGAAAAGGTTATTTTTCAAATGTTAAGTCACAAAGTCAACACTCTCATCCTAGATTTTCTGCTACAAAGCAGAATTTATAGTTCTATAAATTGTGGCAAGTTGAAAAACTGCTACCACCGTGATGTTTTTAAAGTTAATGTTAAAGTTAATCCTGACTCAACTCAATGTTAATTGAGCCAGGATGTAACAGCACTGCCATCTTTCAGAAAAGGTTCTCTTGTGCCTCATCAGTCTGGGTATCAACCAGTCAAATGTATGAATATTTAATGGCTCTTTGAATGAAATTTAAAGCAAAACAAAAAAAAATTAAGCAGAGGGAATGATTGGGGTATCCTGATGTATTACAATCAAGCATAGCATATGAGTCACAGAATAAGACACATTCAGATTTGTATGTTTATTAAGTAATAAATGTGGTTTAAGGTTCAATAGCTGCATGAAGAAAAGCTTATAAAAGATATCTAGTTAAGCCATGACAGGGGAACAACTTTGACATTTCTGGGCTCTGTTTGTGGTTCTTGGCAGGAGCTTTGTGTTTCTCAAACAGGCTCTCTACAAGCTAGCTTAAAAGTTTTTGTGCACAGAATCCTCCTAGCCGGGCCGGGGTGGGAACAGAAGTGAACCAGTAGTGAAAGCAGATGTCGTCCAGACAACTGGAGATAACTTTGCAATTAACCCATGACAGGCACAAAAAATAAGTTCATCCCTCTTGTTAGCTAACAATCCCACTTTGCCCATTATAATGGATGGTTTGAACTTCCTCCTCTCTGCTCTCCACCATGCCTCCTTTCCAACTCCTCTGAGATTTCTGGATTCAGAGGAGTTATTTCAGCTTTTCCAACGTTAATCAGCCGCTCCCTGTTGTAAACCACCCAGCTGCCCACCTATTTTGATACAATGTGCTCTGTTGTATCATAACTAAATAGGAAAGTATGAAAAATATAAAAATCAGTCCAAAACAAAATCAGTATCCAAAACAAGAAAGAACGGTTGCCAAAATAAATAAAATGTTCACTCAGAAAGACAGGAATGAAAGTTTAAAAAATAAAAATATCTCAACGAAAGTACAGAGCTAGTCCAACGTGCTGCCACCCTGAGCGGCACAATCCTGGAATTCAGAATAATAAATGAATGAATGAATGAATAAATAAATAAATAAATAAATAAATAAATAAATAAACATAAATTAGGTAGAATTTTAGAATAAATCATTAAGGGGGCTATACTTTTTTGTAGTAATATTTCTGGTAGAGAATTAATTGTGCCATTAGGCATTTTTAAAATAAATGCTACTGAGGGAATTTTTTTCATTCATGTTTTAAAAATAATCAGCAATAAATTTATTTGAAGGATCTTTCTTTAGCAGAATTGTAAAAACACTCAGAATTATTATAGCATAATTCTATAATAATAATTATAGAATTATTCTATAATTCTCTCAATATCTTCAATATCTAAGCACTTTGAATTGCCTTGTTGCTGAAAACATGCTATATAAATAAAATTACCTTACCTTACCTTACCTTACTACTGAAGATATCTACTATCTCCAATAGTCGATATAACATTTTTAAACTGTTACTCAGTAGCTGGACTGAGGAAAAATTTGACATGCGATCAGCAATTCAACTGTAAAATACCACTGTGGTATTACGATGTGTTTAGGTGAGATCTGACAGGAACATGAACCTTTGATGGGCCAGCTAACGTAAATCTGGGATGAACAAAGAACAGCAATCAGCACACAGAGCGGACTCACGTAGGCAGCTGTTGTGGGTGAAAAGGCGCTGCAGCCGCAGACATTCCTGCCACTGGTTGCCACTGCCCTCACAGTTGCACCACAGCGACACATCAGCAGAGTTGTTGCTGATGTAGTTGGGAGTCATGATGGTTCCTGCAGGTCAGAATATCAGCTCAGCATCAGGAAACGTGTTTACGGATACCATGGGTGTTTCTCTGAACATGCTGCATTCAATACACACACTTTAATCCTGATTGTTTACAATCAGAGAACGGGGATTGTGAGTGTCTGACAGGGTGTGAAGAGTTATATCTGTCTGAAAGCTCTGAGTCCAATCCAGAACTCATCCATCACCAACAGAGCTGGCAGAAAGCCACTCAACACTCGGCCATCCACATGCGTTTGTCAGCTGTCATCTCTCTTTACACTCTGGCCTCTCTTTACTTTGCTGCCCTGGCCATCTATCTCATACCCATCAACTCTCTGCTCTGCTGTTTTCTTCTAGCTATTTTTGCACAAATTCATTTGGCGTTCCAACAAGAATGTAGCTGTTATTCTGGGTCAATTAAGCTTTGCTGTTTTTTTGGCTTCAAACTTTAATCTTGAGACTTCCAAGACAGCATTCCCGTGAGACAAAGTTTTACTGCTATTAAATCAAACCATTTCCTTATAATGAAGCACATTATTGCCAAAAGTGAGAAGCGGACTCTACTGCACCACATTAGATCACATTTATTCAATTCACAACTTGTTCTGTAACAATATGTAAAAACTAATCTTGGCATATGTGAAAGTTAATGTTGAAATAAACATGCTAATAGCTCAACATGCATTTCTGCGTCCCGACAGATGTCTCACAACAACCATACGCATCACAACTACTTCACTCATAGTGAAGCAGACGTCTTTTTCATCAAGAGAAACATCCTGCTGGGTAAAATACTCCACAGCACAGGTCAGGACGTTTCTCTAAACTGCTCAAATCGATAGTGAATGTGTCAGTTTTCTTTCTCAGTTTAACCTGTGAGATAAAATGACAACCAGCCTTTATGTTATCACTGCATTAGCAGAGGCAGCCATGCTCAATGGGATGGGAGCAGCCACAGCGTTGGCCTTTACTTTGAGACCATGGAAAATGTTAAACACAGACTGAAATGTATCAATATCATTTTGTTTCTATTGATATTTGTGTGGTTTGTTGACATAAGCAGGTTATATTAGTGAAGCATGTGTTTTTTTTCTGTTTCAAAACTAATCTCATATATATAGGGGCCTGATGGTCACTGGGTGAGAGTCAGAGTTATCAAAATATATTTTATTCTCTTTATTAGCACCTGAGAACAAGAGACTTGATATTGCAGTGGCTTATTTAAAAAAAAGAAGAAAAAAAAGAAAAACTTGCTAAGAAGAGTTTTCAAAGACTGAACCTGGATTTTTAGAAAAGTTAGTGTCCGTTTTTTTCTCTGCAGTTTTTGGGCTTGAAAATCCATCTACGTCATGTTGACTGTGGTGCTCCAGATTAATTACTACCTGGTTCTTAGATTGAGGCCAAGCAGCAACATGAACAGGTGATGTGTGCTCTCTGTGTCAGTACCTATAAGCCCAGCATAGGCTCGGAGGCAGAGGCCTGTTGAATCTTTCAAACATCCGCTGGCTGTCAGATGAGATGGTTGGCAGTTACTGAGGAAATCAGCAAGCCTGGACCTGGCAAAAACACAAACAGCTCCACATCAAATGGAAAAAGTGGGCAGAAAATTTAGGTGAATGATTTTAGATGTGTCTGAATTTGAGTTAGACACAAATTCAGACAATGTTAGTTCAGTAACATTTTTCTCCGCAGAGTTGACAGATTCTTGTTTATGTCCAAATTAATGTGTCTCCTTTCATTTCTGTGTTGTTTACAGAACCATTTCTCATGTCAGGTGGAGGTGGCAGCAGTGCAGGGGCAGATGCTGTTTTGAAAGCTGATGTCAGCTATTACACTTACAGTTTGTCCAGAGTGAAAAAAAGGGAAAACATATGTGATATTTATAATATTGCCATCACCTCTGAAGGAACCATTATGTTGAGCTCATATTCTTAAAAAATGACAACAACAAAAAACAAACAAACAAAAAAAAACATCTGCCCTCTTTACCAGCAACTAGAAAAATTCAATAATTGTCCACACTCTTAGACATATCCTAAAAAGTATGTACACTGTAATTTGTAATGCTTAAACTACCATTTAGTTAGCCGAATGTCTAACCTGCACAGGTCGTCTCGGCGACAGAAGCTCTGCTGGTGGAGGCAGTTAGGCTGCAGACTCTCTGCATCCTGGTAGGAGCAGGAGGGTACGATGGTCTTCCTCCTCCTCTCTCCACACAGGGTGTTGGTACAGGGGCAGAACAGGACACCCAGGCTGTATTCCTCTGGTACCCGCTCCAGGAAGCGCCTGAGGGCCCGGTGGCACTTGTACTGGTTGCATCGGCTGGTGTTGGGTATTGGCTTTGTGCAGGAAAACACATAGTCTGATCGAAGAGCACCGCACTTCTCATACAGGCCGCAGTCCTGTGCTGCTTTCAGGCACTGGTTCTCACCATCCAGCTGCATGAAGGATGAACCTGCAGGGGTGAACATGGAGAGAATGGGAAAACAGCCAGCAACTAAATATGGTAAAAACATATGATATTCTGTGTCATATATCCTGTTTCTCCATTGTAACCTGTTTGCTTTGGATGTAGAAACACATCAAACTGAAACCATCTGGCCTTTTTGATACATATTTGCCAAATGAATCTCAATGTATTCAAACTTAATTGAATTGTGCTGTATAAACTTAATTAATGTTTAGATTTAGCTGTTTCCAGATACACATTATGTTGGGCTGTGGTTGCCACTAAAATGCATTTTGTGTTAGCTTGTACCAGATGTATATCTGTACCTTTACAGTAATGTTGCAGTTATTATTAATGTATATGCAAATGTTGTCTGTTGCTATGGTTTCTCAGTTTTGTTTGTTTTTCTTTTTTTCTCTCTCTCTTTCTGAAGGTGTAGGAACAGACCTCTATATCATGATTCAAAACATTTTTACAAATAAAAAACTTAAAAGTGCGGTGTGCAAAAGAATTCAGATATATTTTCTCTCAGTGCAACCAATTGCCTTCAGATGTTGTCTGGTAACTGCTAAGCAATCAATCAATTAAGTTTATTTGTGTAGCACATTTCAGCAACAAGGTAGTGCAAAGTGCTTTACATCATAAAAACACAAAAATACAAAGTCATAAAAGAAGGTTGATACAACATGCAGTCAACAGTTGAGAAACCCAGAAATAAACATTACATTTTTATTAGTGTCATCATCAAAATCATCAATACACATCAAATATGTTGATAAATGTTTCATTTATTATTAATCAAAAGTAGCTCTAAACTAACAGTAATTTAAAGTCTATTTTCTCAGGCAAGTACTGTAGAACTGAGTGATGTTCTCTGTCTTACTGGTTTTAGTCAGCACACCAGCAGCAGCGTTCTGGATCAGCTGCACCTGGAGGATTGATGTTTTAGTGAGAACCTGTGAAGACGCTGCTGCAGTAATAAGTGCAACTAAAGATAAACACATGGAGGAGTTTCTCTAGATCTCACTGACTTTAGCTCTTAAATCCTGGAAATGTTCTACAGGTGATAGAAGGCTGACCTTATAACTGTCATTATGTGGCTCTGAAGGTTCAGGTTAGAGTTCATCACTACTCCCAGGTTTCAACTTGATCTCTAGTTTCCAGCTGTAATACCTGAAGCTGTGTGTTGACTTGTTTATGATGACTGCTTTTAGTTAAGCTTTAAATATTTCACTCTATATATAGAAAGTGAGTATCTTACCAGACACTAAAGAGGCCATGCGAGAGTCAATCATGGAGTCATCATAGGGTGATATTTCCAGTTCCTCCCTTCCTGTGGAAAAAAAGAGAAAATTTTAAAGATTGGCAAAAGGATGATCTACATTGAGCAAGAACAGCAGCAGGTTGGAAGGAATAAAAGTAGGACAATTATATGAGAAAACTGAGACAACAGAAAAGCATCAGTTCACCCATCTTCCCACCCAAAGTGCCCCATTATGAATTAGAACAACATTTAGACTGCCAACAGTACCACAGTCAAAGTAAAACAAGTTCACAGAAAGGTATGCTGCTACTTTAAATCAACTGGGATAAGAGAAAAAATGACTCCATCCATCCATCCATCCATCCATCCATCCATCCATCCATCCATCCATCCATCCATCCATCCATCCAT